CATAAGCGTGATTATGTAAATTGCGGGATGTCAAGCAGAGCGAGGACCCCCCTGCTTTCATGCTGCGGGGCAGATGGAGATGCTGAAACCTTGACAGGGAAGCTGACATGGGGAGGAGAAGCAGCTGTTTTCCACATCTTTGGGAAACAGAAATGGGGGGGCTATAATCCAATCTGAGGTTTATGGGATCAGAGCCATGAAGTACATTGAAAGCTTGAGGTTGGGGTGGCGGGGGAGGGGCGGGGTGGGGTGGGGTGTGGCAGCGGCGATCATTGATTTTTATTCTTTCCAGGTTAAATTGATTACTCTTGCTTGAGACTGAACAAATGTGAGAAAACATTGGCCTTTATCTGAAATCAGGACTTGCTCACAGATTAATGGCTGCCTATTATATCTGCCAGTTATGATTTGTAGCTGCCCGGCTGCCCGCTACAGTTCTGCATGTAGTGTTAGCAAGGATTTTCTAGCACTTTCTGCATCAATCTGACCCTCAAACGTCATGCATTAAGAATTAACCGTCATGCATATATGTGTATGTGTGGATGTATGTGTTATGTACCAAATGTCCCCAAAATGTGATAAAAAACTTGTTATTTTGATGTTGTGGGGACCATTTTTTCAGTCCCCACTGCAACTGAAAAACTAAAAAAGCGTAAGTCTTGTATTTTGTTTGGTTAGTTATGGTTAAGGTTAGGGCTGGGTAGGGGTTAAGGTCATCATCGCTGGGATTAGGGTTTTTCCCATATAAATGAATGGAGAGTCCCCACAAAGATGTAAATACAAATGTGTGTGTGTGTGTATGTGTGTGATCTGTCAGTGAGAAAAATGAAAGTTATGAGCACAGGATTTGCAGCTAACTGGTGCTGACATGCAAGGATACAGGCAGCTTTTGACTCCCTGGAACAACCATCAACAACAAAGGATCCAGCAGTCAGAATGACACTTGGCAAGGCTGTGAAGGAGGACCTGAAAGAAACCTGCAAAAGCACAAATTGCCTTATAATAACAAAGACCAGATTTGTTCAGATTTGTTGTTCTCTTTTCTGTGACTCTTTATGAGCGTAAAAGCAGGACAATGGAGAAGCAGAACTGGAAGAGAAGTCTTTTAAGAATAGCGTGAACCACATGTAAAACAAGCGGATTCTTGATCAAAGCACACCTGAACTTTCACTCAAAGCATAACTGAGCAGTGCACTGATTGGAAAAGCTGAAGGTGAACCAGAACGAGGACAGAAGGACTCAATTGTCACAAAAATTAATGCAGGAAGTTCTAAGACCTGAACAGAAGGCAGACAGTTCTAGAGAAATCTTGTCCATGTGGACACCGTGAACTGACTCCACTGGGCAGCATTTAATAATATCAGGTGTAACATTTTTGCTTGTCAAATAACAATGACTGAAGGTAGCCATGTAACAATATCATAATGCGCACTATAAGTAAAGAACCCAGATGCAAAACCCCACACTACCCTGGGCTGTGTCAAGCAAGACCCAAAGCTGGTTGTGTTTTCCTGTTTCACACACTCCGAAACTGACACTAAAAGTCGCTCTTCTTTCCTGCGGTCCTGTCACATGGCTGTATACTGCCATCTTTACACAAAGCATGTCTTGCAATGACACTGCTCTACTGACTGACAGAGAAACACCACTGCATCAAGAACGACCACCTACGTAATTTCTATTGTCACTTTGTCTCTACCCTCATATCACTGCCCTGCTGAGAGCTTTGGATCCAACAAACGTCCGTGTTAGATATTTATTGGGCCAAATTAACAACAAAATACGCTTCGCTGCGTAAACAATCAGTTTGAAGACATACTTTTATAAACATAACGGCCGCTTGATGTCTTCACAAAATAACCCAAACTTGCTGCGATTTAATTTTTCGCATTTAGATTGAAACAATTATCTGCTCCATAAAGTGTAATTGACTCCTCAATGACGCCCGTCACAAAGGCTTTCATACGCAACAGCCCGCGGGAACACAGCCTGAATGGAGGTGTAACTAGGTACTTTGTAAAACCTGCAGTTATAGCTGTGTTTAGTGTTGTGAATACAACAGAGGTGTTGATTCAACTGAATATTATGCCCGTTTAAGCATTCACGTTTCTCGCAGTATATTAAGACGATAAGGGGCAAAACACTAGCGGGAAGGACATCACATTGTCCACTAGGGCTGGGCAATTAATCGAATTTTAATTTCATTTAAGATGCTGGCTTCCAATGGTTATCAAAACAAAATCGTTGAGATAAATGATTATTGTGTCGAATTTCGTTTTGCATGGATGCTCCTGTTTTGTCTTGTGTTATAAAAAAAAGTGCACTCCCTTTCAGTCCATTTCTTTTTTGTTTCTCAGATCAATTACATTTAGAGTCCAAGCAAATAAAAAATTAAATGTTTTTTAAGTTCAAGAGATGCATGATGTTTTCAAAGTCAGTGAGTAATCGTGTTAAATAATTGTGATCTCAGTATTGATCAAATTAATCGTGATTATGATTTTTGTCATAATCGAGCAGCCCCACTGTACACCCACACCTCCACAAATGCTGGACGCTGAAAATGACCACAATGCAGCTCAACTCATCAGCATCAACTACGAGCCGGCGGGGGCCGAACAGCCCGCATTGCTGACAGCATCAGTGCCCCCATCCCTCGGCGATTTGAAAGGGCTCAGCAAATTTGCAGGAGCACTGGACCCGAGCTGCAATGTTCCAGGCCATAAAACATTCACCGGTGTGTTTCTCCGCCAGAGTAGAGGATCTCACGGGGACTATTACGTGAGCTGTCTATGATGGTGACATCACCCCCCCCCCCCCCCAACCCAACCCCTGAAGCTCAGGCAAGACTTTCATTGGTTCCTTGAGCTCCAGGCTTTAGTTCTGCAGGCTAATCCTCTTGCCTGGCGGCTCTGAAGGTTGCAGCAAAATAAGTTTGATCCCGCTTAGCACTGCAGCAAACGCAGACGCAACGGTAGCATGCAGAGCAGTCGCTTCCAGTTTTACAGTTTGCACGCACCGCACGCACGACTGTGGAAGTCGGCTCCGTGGACAATGGGGACTGTTTCATTCCCAACTGTAATATGCGCACAGTCTTAATTATGCCATACATTTTAAGTGTCACTGCAATTAGAACACACTGTAGCTTTGTTTAAATATGCGTGGCAACATTAAGAAATTCGTAGAGCCGTATACGAATACGCGCAAAGCTATCAGCCGAGATGGTACTAATGATATGAAAGCAAATATGTATTTTTTTCTGGCAGCGACATTAAATATTTGAAACAGAAAAGAACCTGCATTTTGGAAATAATATTTTTGTAATTCCACGTTCTGCACTTGTTTCTGCCTGCTCCTGTTCTACCAGTTGCTGTACCCACCTTGACCCCCTCATCTTCTGGGATCAACCAATTAACCTCCCACAATTCAATCCTAATCAACTTATTTGCCATGTACCAGAGTATATGCGTTCAATACACCTAGTACGACCTGCGAAGTTTGCATGCCTCTTGCTAAGCAAAGAAATTCAGCTGACAAACACACAACAAAATAATTCGCACTTGCACTTACTTTTAGGTATTTAAATATATTTTCACAAGACCTCATCGTACACTTAGAACTATATTAAATCTCTCACTAAAATTAATATTCATCGCCCCTATCTAATGAACCATTATAACATACCAATTAGTTATCTCATTTGGAATCCGTGACAATAATTAATAGCAAGATCTAATATTTTAGCTTAGATTTAGAATAGTTCCATCTGAAAGTCCTTGTTTAAATTACCCTATTCGTCGTCGGTGAGCAATATATCATTATGTCAACATGGAGCGCTTCTTTACCTGTCAAGCGCATTTAATAAAAATTGCAACCTTAACATTTTTTATGCCAGAGGTAAGATTAGAAGGTGTATGTAAGCGAAAATTAAAGATAACTATGCAAACTATAGGAAAAGCAAAGCGCCCGGTGAAAAGTGTAGTTTGAGTTTGATTTGAAATGATAATACACAATCTGTCATTAATACCAACTAACGGAATTGCGTGTTATAACTATGTGAATAATTTTCAGTTAACGAGTCTTAGTATATGCATTTTATAAAGTAACAGTTTTATATCGAACGCCTGAAAGATTTCAGTGTTTAAGCATTCAAATACACGGACGCATTGGCTACAAATCTCCGATTGTACCAGCAAAAGGGAAAATATTTTAACTCAAACTAGTTTACTTACTTTTGGTCTTCTAAGAACACACTGGATATTAGTAGGATCTTGCCATTTTCAGACAGCGTATTCACAGAGCATTTAAAATTGTGGGATTTATGTTGGGCATGGTGTTATAATAAGATTATTTTCAGAACGTCATGGTCACCCTCTGCACATCTCAGCCGCCAGGTGTCTCTAACGACACCGCTGTGCATTATGTCTACGCTTTAAAGCAGGACTGTGAAACCATTAAAAAAAGTTATTGAATATGTCAAGGAACTTGCAACAATGGAGGGAAGTAATGTTAAATGTGCAATGCAGCAATAGACATAATTCCATACTTAAAACGGTAAGTTAACTAGAAATTAAAATACACACTGAATAAGACCTACACTGTTTTAAATCACTAGCACTCCTTAAAATTCTGTAAATTCTAGTCAGGCAATGTGCTGTAAATCTGTTTAGCCAAATACATTATACGCCTAAATTAGCACGAAAGTACTCCCAAAAACCAGCTTATTGTTAAAATTATATATAAACTACATTTTGACATTCAGTGACATAGTTTATACTGCAAGGACCCTTATGCATGGCTACCCGAAAAAATCGCCATAAACGTGATGTTTTTCGAGTACCACCGTCAGTACATAGCAGTCATACGAATATGAATAATAAAGATAATAACGTATCTAAACATATGATAATTACAATATTATTTAAATAATTCCCAGTTTCTTTATTTTTCATAAGGCATTATACCGAGACGGCAATATTGAGGTCCTTTCTGAATCCGCGACCATGAGAATGACGTCTCGCGTACGGTTTTCAATCAGCTGATTCCGCGAAGGAGAAAAATAGCAAATTAAATTAATGGCTGCGCGCTGCAGAAACTTGCCGGTTAATGATATCCCATTGATCGCTCGTTGACATGAGTCGTTTTAGTAAGTATTTGATGTTTGGTGTGTGTGGAAGTGAAGCGGTTACGCTTGTGAGACGCGTTTCTGCTAAGTCAGTGGCATCCCTGCCTGTGGCCTGCTTTGTTCCATTTCCATACACCTACTGTGAACACAGGTGCTAGCTGGCTAGCTGTTGGCTGCTGTGTATCTGTGTTACAGTGATCATATTATTTTAATTACGTCTGTATTCGAATTCAGTCAACACATTTCTAAAGATATGTATATATGCCATTTTAGTGACTGGCTTGCTAGTTTAACTAGTTACGAAAAACAGCTAGTTACTTGTATGGACATTATTGGATTTTTACCTAGGTCAGCTGGTGGAGACCGTATTGTCAAAGGTTAAATTAGTATATTTTCCAAATTCCTGAACTATTTGTAAATGTGCTTGTCGTTACACGATGTAGCTTGTCGAGATCAAATGTATATTCTTTAACGACAGCCCTGTGTGCTGTCAGAAACTTGTTTTTTTTTATTAAAACGGTGTGCTGTTTGTAGATTTGAGAGAAGTTCTAGGCTAATTAATACTTAGTTGCCCAGACAAGTATGGAGTTATTTTTTCGTCTGCTGACTTTAATGTTTTGTATGTTGTAAGCTAGGAATCACACACGGTTTGTCAGCGCTTGATGAGTTAGTCTGCTCAGCAACATTCTGCTAACTGCGGCCGATTGCCACACCAGGTGGGGTTTCTTCAGTGAACTCGCTTCGTGCTGCACGTTAAGAGTTGACCATGGACAAGATTCTGGAGGCCCTGGTGGGCTCGACTCATTCGGTCCCTGTGAAGAAGGCCATCGTGAAGAAGGTGGTGGAGGCGGCAGAGAAGGAGGTGACGGTGGAACAGTGCCAGGCGCTCTACAGCCTCACCACACGCCTCATCCTCCTGGGAGAGGACGCCTTCCAGCGGCAGGTGGGCTTCCAGGTGCTGGAGGCATACGCACGGTACCACCGCGCGGAATTTGAGCGCTTCTTTAGCCGTGAGTTTGTCCTGGGTCTCCTCCAGCAAGGCTATGGCACCCTGGACCGGAAAGACCCAGCCATCGTGGACTACATCCACAGCTGCCTTCGGCTCCTCATCAGCTGCCCCTCGGTGCTGGAGATCTTTAGCGTGCTGCAGGTGGAGGTGCTGCGCGTGGTGTGCGAGCGGCCCGAGCCGGTCCTGTGTGCGCGCCTCGCCGGCATGCTCTCGGACTTCGTGCAGTGCATCCCCCGCGACAAGGCAGCCGTCTTGTTCTGCCAGCAGCTGGTCAGGACTATCGCCTACTTCCACTGCGCCGCTAGCCAGGAGAGGGAACTGCGCGAGTATGTCACTCAGGTCACCAAGGTCAGCACCTTGCTCCAGAACATCTGGAAGGCCGAGCCCACCACCCTGCTGCCCTCGCTGCAGGAGGTCTTCGCCATCATCTCCTCCACAGGTGAGGCTGGGGAGGACAAATGTGCTTCCTGGATTTTAATACTGAAGCCCAACATGTGACTGGAGCAGTAAGGGGCTTATCTTGCGTTGCCTGTCTCACTCATACAGCATCTTCTGATCATCTAGTTCTAGATCTTTTAATGTCCTCATCTACATCAGGCCTTCCCTGATCCTTCATTCACTATATAATCCGTAACCTCCATAACTGTAACAATAAACGGGATTGTCAGCTTTAGCTATGAAGCTCTGGCTTCCAGATGGCATGTTTTCCTTTTCCCAGTGCTTGTCCTTCTGCATACAATGTGAGTTCCTGCTCTATTTTTGTATGGCTGATCTCGGCTGTGTTTCTACACTGCAGTATTTTAACTGCAGCAACTGTATCTTTGCACAGGGGCTGCCAGAAAGTGTCAGATATAAATGTATACTCCAGTACTGCATTATGTGACTGGGGGCGGTACTGATCAGTATGCGTATGTTTTTGGGTGTACATCAGCAGTCAGAGTAGATCAACTGTTGGTGCTCATGTTTTGTGTACATCAGTAGTCTAATATTTGTAGTTTCTTACTTTTATAACTCATCCCTGCTTAGTAGGGAGAATCTTATTATTATTTACATGCACCCTTTTCTCTGCTTTCCTGCTTCATTGTTTTAAAGTGGGGTTATTCAAATCATGGTCCTCAAGGTCTGAGCACTGCTGGTTTCCCAGCCTTCCTTTACCTGTGAGCCACTTGTGAAGCCTCTGACCAATCAGAATCAGTAATTATTAAACTAACTACCTGGGAGAACTGAAAACAAGGCCTGGATTTGGAATCGAGGTCCAGATTCGAAGAGCCCTGGTTTAAAGGTTCGAATGTGTTGAAAGTTAACAGGCAGTGTTTATCTGTTTGGATTAAATACTGCTTGTACTGCAGAGGTGGAAATTTTAGGGCCAGAAAGTAAAAATCTGGTCCAAGATTTCACTTCAACCAACCAGCTGATTAATCTGTAACCGTGACTTGTTTTACTCAACTGGTTGGTTGAAACAAAATCTTAGAATGGATTCTTACTTTCTGGACCTGAAATTTCCACCTTTGTTTTACTGTCACATTTAGATGAATTTTTAGTAGTTGTATCGAGAGGCAGTTTTATGTATATTCTCATCTTTCCTAGCTGAATCCTGTTCCTTCCCCCCACCAGAATGTTTTCATTCCAACCTACACTGCTTTCAACCCGCCACATCCATTATTAGCCTATTAGGCACCATATGAGGTTGATTAAGGTACGTTTGGAATGAAAACGTTCTGGCAGGGAGGGGGGGGCATCAGGAACAGAATTGAAAACCACTGGGTAAACCCATCTGCACTTTCGTTGTTTTCATACACATCCATGTGTGCTCAAACTGTGATACACCCCCCCCACCAATCGCCAACTCCGCCGTGGTGGTGAAATGTGGCGAGCGCTGATGCCCCCTAACCCTGTGGCGTTTGTGCCCCGCAGACCCTTCGTTTGATCCCTCCATAGCCCTGGCCAGTCTCGTCCAGCACATACCTCTGCAGATGATCACGCTGGTTATCAAGAGCCTCACCACCGACCAGAATGTGAAAGACGCCAGCATGACACAAGCCCTCTGCAGGTCAGCTCGGATCCCGGCCGATGCTTAACCGGGGTTTTGCCACATCACTTCATGCGTATTGGTGCCTAAATTTATAGATTCATATTTTTTTAATAAAAAAACTTTGCTCTTTTGGTTTATGTTTTTAATACAGCATTTTACGCAGGTTTAAAATATGCAATTTTTATATGCAATGGCTGAGTCAAACTAGTTTAAGTCATATAGCTGTGCTGTTTTTATTTTTCAATGAGGGAAATTTGTTTCAAATATACTTGAAATTCCAGAACATAGCTCTTGTGTGAAAAGACTTAGTAGTGTAGTTTTTTTTGTTTTGTTTTAAAACGAAATCGATAGTCTGGGCCATGGTGTCGGTTGAGTTTGTCGTCTTGAGTTGTGCTGTTCTGTCTCAGTGCAGTGAGTGGTGCTGTTCTGTCTCAGTGCAGTGAGTGGTGCTGTTCTGTCTCAGTGCAGTGAGTGGTGCTGTTCTGTCTCAGTGCAGTGAGTGGTGACCTCCTGTGACTGTCCTGAACTTCCAGGATGATCGACTGGCTGTCCTGGCCTCTGGCTCACTATGTGGACACGTGGGTGATAGCCCTCCTGAAGGGGCTGGCTGCCGTGCAGAAGTTCACCATCCTCATAGATGTCACGCTGCTGAAAATCGAGCTGGTGCGTATGGCTGCGAGCTTGTCGATGGTCTCTAGAAACACACCTCTCATTGGATGGATCTGGGACAGTTATAGCCTGAACCAGTGTTGAATGAATGAATTCCACTCAGCTGGTGGAACATGGCTTCTTGTGTGGACGTCTTTGAAGGCCTGGAGGACCAGTGACCTTACTCTCTTGCATCCACACAATGGTATCTCCATGTACTGCTGGATTCAGCTGGTACCGTGTCTCACTCTGTGCCTATAGGTATTCAGCCGTCTCTGGTACCCAATTGTGAGACAGGGGGCGCTGACGGTCCTATCCCACATGCTGCTGAGCTTCCAGCATTCCCCCGAGGCCTTTCATCTGGTAGGTCTGCTGTCTTCTGTACCTTTGTGATGTTCGCCCCCTACTGGACGGTGTCGTATTGCTGCAGTAATTTATGCAGAAAATCAAGTGCCTCATATCTGTCTGTCCGGAATCCGTCTCTTGTAGGTGAAGGTCCCTGCTTGATGTTATTCTCTCCAAAGCTGTCAGGCTGTTGGGTGCAGCAGTTATTTACCTGTCACGTGAAAACCTTGTGCCGCCCCGGGCTGTAGGGTTGTGCCTTTTTAATTGCGTAATCGGGTTTCGTAATGGCCGAAAACGACATTCTCCATTTTGTCTGCCACTCGGTGGCCCCTGAACTGCCAGCAGTACGCAGAGAGGTGGCACGTGATGCCACATTCTCCCGAAAACCAGGCAGAACCCCTTTGCCCTGACTCTGCGGCCCGTTCCTGTAGGTGGTCCCGCACACGGTCAGCCTGATCCAGATGCTGAAGAGCGATGGGCTCCCTTCCAGCAAGGCCTTCCTCCACCAGTTCACCGAGCTCATACACTGTATGATGTACCAGTATTCCGGCTTTCCTGAGCTCTACGAGAACATTCTGGAAGCCATAAAAGTAAGATGACTAGACTACGGACCCCCATAGGTGTCATGGTAGAAAAAAAATATCTTGTAAATCGTGCACTTGAGTTGGTAAATCGCACGATTTGTCTTGTATGTTGGTATACTCTCCCATTGGCACATTTCAGTATATCACATGACACTGAAACCTTATTTTGCAGGATATGCCTAAGCCCAGTGAGGAGAAGATCAAACTGGTTTTGAACCAAAGTGCCTGGACCTCCCAGTCGAATTCCCTGGCTTCTGGCCTGCCGAGGCTGATGGGTAAATCTGAGACGGGCAAGACGGGCCTGATCAACCTGGGAAATACTTGCTACATGAATAGCATTCTCCAGACCTTATTCATGGCCACAGAGTGAGTAGGCGTTCCATTCCGTCCTCCCTGGAATTCTTGCTTATCCCGTTCCTTCACAGAAGTTCATTCCCCCATCCTATAGAGGGAGGAGGCAAGTGTGATGATGTCTTTTCTTTAATGCTCCGGTCTCTCGGCAGTTTCCGGCGTCACGTTCTATCATTGCACCTAAGCGGCACCCATACGCTCATGAAGAAGCTGCAGCTGCTCTTCGCCATCTTGGCTCACACTCAGGTACGAAAACCCCCCCCTCCGCCCCCTTTACCGTCCAGCTTGTGTCGTTCACTTTCATGCCCATAGAGCTGATCCCGTAGACCTACATGATATTTCACCGTCGCCATTGTTTCAAGTTTTACAATTAGTAAGTGGAGGATAGAGGGATGCAGCGTATGAATCTGCTGTCCGCCGTATAAATCCGTCAGCAGTGTGTACCTGCCCTCCCCTGTAGAGGGCAGCCTATGCCCCGCGGAGTTTCTTCGATGCTTCCAGACCTCCATGGTTCACGGCCGGCTCGCAGCAGGACTGTTCCGAGTATCTGCGCTACTTGTTGGACAGGTAACTCGCTGGCCTGTGAGAATACCACCTTTCCCTTGGAATTCCTGTTCGACGTTAGGCAATCCTGATCCTGCAGTCCAGCAGGTTTTCTGTCCCCCCTGGTCTCGGATGAAACCTTATTTTGCACGATATGCTGTGTGCATTGGGCTAAGCCGCTGTGCCTGTGATCGGAAGGTCGCTGGTTCGACCTTGAGCAAGTCCCAGCTCCCTGTGTGGCGGCTGCCCTTCCTGTCCATCTTGCTCTCACCTGCAGAGAACAAGTTGGGGGAGGCGTAAAGAGAATTTCCCCACAGGGATTTAACAACTATCTATTATTACTAATATTATTATGAACCACACCTAATCTCAGGCAGATAGAAACTCGGCAGGTAGGACAGAGAACCTGCTGGATCCCGCCACTCCAGGATCAGGGTGTCCTGCCCCTGCACTTGTCCTCTGTAATTCCCCCAACATGATGCTGTGATTTCTGGCAAGGCTGAGCAGAGAGGGCCAACAAACCCAGTTAAATGTTTAGGCTTCCGGAATGTTCTGAATGTCTGGACGTTAGATGTTTGTTCCTCGCTGTCTGTTGCGACTAAGGCTTCACGAAGAGGAGAAGACCATCCAAGCGCTGATGCTGACCGGCCCGAAACATGCCGATGCCGGCAATGGCGGTACACCCTCGGACTTCACGGACGAGCCCCAGCACCAGGTGGACGAGCCCTCGGAAGCGGGGGAGGAGAGGAAGACCCTCATCGAAAAGATGTTCGGGGGCCGGCTCTCCACGGGCATACGCTGCTTGCGTTGTCACAGCGTGTCGGAGAAGGAGGAGCCCTTTACGGACCTGTCGCTGGCCTTCCAGCCCGCCGCCCAGACTAGGGGGGGTGTGGACGGTGGCCGGGCGTCGACATCTGCCCACCAGGGGGCGGTCAATGGCGGCAGCGAGGCCTCGGACATCCCCGGCAGGGAGAGGCAGGCAGGGGGTGATAGCTCCGTGCCTCCGGCCGACTCCCAGCACGCCGTGCCCCCCCTGTCCGTGCCCGACATGGTCAACTACTTCCTGGCGCCGGAGATCCTGGACGAGGAGAACAAGTACTACTGCGAGCGCTGCTCCTCGCTGCAGCGGGCGGAGAAGACGCTGCGTGTGCTGGAGGCGCCCGAGTACCTCGTCCTGACACTACTGCGCTTCGCCTACGATGCCAGCTGCCACGTGCGCCGCAAGATCCTGGACAACGTGGCCATCCCGCTGCTGGTCCAGCTCCCCGTGCACTCCCACTCCGGCCGCGGTCCCTCCCCCCCTCAGGTACCCTCCCCCGACGGCGGGGAGAACCTGGCCAAGAAACTGAAGCCCTCTGGCGAAGACGGGGAGGAGCGGGAAGCGGAGGAGCGGACACAGGTGGAGCCGGTGCCTTACGCGCTGTGCGCCGTGGTCATGCATTCCGGCATGTCCTCGGAGAGCGGACACTACTACTCTTACGGCAGGAACGTGAGCTCCAACGATGGGCTCTGCCCCCAGAAGGACGAGCCCCAAGATCCGGCCAACCCTACGGACTCCAACCCGGTGCTCCCCTCCGGCTCCACCTGTTCCCCCCTCGCGCTGCAGGAGACGCCCCAGGCCGCCTTACCCCCGCGCGACTGGTTCCTCTTCAACGACAGCCGGGTGACATTCACCTCCTTCCAGTCGGTGCAGAGCATCACAAGCAGGTTCCCCAAGGATACGGCTTACATCCTGATCTACCGGAAACAGAGCTCGCGGCACAGCCAAGGGCCCGGGGCCACCAACGGCGTCCGGCTGAGCTCAGAGCCGCCCCTGCAGAAGGACCTCATGGAGGCCGTCACAAAGGACAACAAACTCTTCTTACAAGTGAGTGGGGGTTTATATTAGTGTTGGGAGCTTTCTGCTTTGGTTTATGGTCAGTCATTATTCTCTCCATGGTCTTATGAGAGTAAAATGATATTGATATCTTCACCCTTGATCCGCCCCGTGCCAATGCGCCCTGAGGCTTAGTTTGAACGTTAAGCCCAAGCGGTAGGTTGTCTGATCGTGTCCCCTGACCCAGCAAGCCTGACTTCATCGCGAGAGTCTGAAGTGACGTTAAACCTGTCCTGTGCCAAGCAGTAGGTGGTGTGTATCTACACCCCTGCCCCACCACATGGTCTCAGGCCCAGGATCATGGCTGTGGCTTCTCTCATGGGGTGTCTGTTGGAAGGGACAGGCTATTTCTGTATTATTTGGACTGCAGGTTAATCAGTGCTAAGTGGGCTGCTCACCTTTCACCGGGAGGTTCAGCGTTAATGGGCACTAATGTCTTTGCTGTCATTTCGCTTTTCTGCGGTTGACCTTCACAATGAGGACATGTGCCACTAGGTGGCAGTAGAAAGTCTATTTCTTTTTACTAGTGGTTTTGTGGAGGACCGCGGCTAAACCAGACGCGCTCTCTCCCTTCGTGCCCAGGAGCAAGAGCTCAGCGCCCGGACCAGAGCCCTCCAGGCCGCGTCTGCCTCCTGTTCCTTCCGACCGAACGGATCCGACGATAACGAGCCCCCTGGAAGCTGCGGGCCCTCGGGTGGCGGTGGTGGGGGAGGGGGCTTTAACACTGTAAGTCGCCTGGTCTTCTGAGGAGCAGGAAGCGAGATGGGACCGGCATCAGGAGCATCGCTGTGCGCAGGCCGCTGGACTTACCCTGCGCTGGCACCTCTCTGACCTGCTCGAATTGACCAAGCCTTGAAACGCTGACCCCACACCCCCCCCCTCCCTTTTTCCAAGTGGTAGCTTCCTGTAACACTGTTTCATTTCTGCATGTATTCCTCTCCTGAGACAGAACTATGGACATGATTTTTTTTTTAAGAAAGCTGTAACAAACTTGACATTTTGCCAGGATTACAAGTCATGCAAGAAGTCTAATGCAATAATTTGACTCATTAAGATGCAATACAAACACGTCTGCAGTTACCACGAGATTTTAATTGCCATGAGTGTGCACAGTGTGAACTTCAGTAAGAGCTGATTTTAAACTGCAACAAAGACGTGTAAATACATTGTCAAGTGCAGTTCTTTGCAAATATATATTTAAAAAAATGCATGTTTAAATGTTTGATTTAACATTATTATAGGGTTTGGGGAATTGCTATTAATATGCATATTGATTATAATATTGCTATTGCCATTAAATTATTTTCTTGATTTTGGGGAAGTCCTTTGTCATATAAATAGGTTTTGTACACCTCTTTGTAATGGGCTCACACCTTACATTGCAATTTGCCATTATTAAACAGTATCACCATATGTTGGTTCAACTTCCAGGAAGTGAAGGTGATCAGCATCTTGTTTTACTATACGCCAGTCATATTTGATTTTCTGTGCGCATGTACTCAACTGGATGATCACAGGTTTGAGACGGATGGCCATGTAAGTGATTTCATTCCACACAAAAGAATTGTGAATCCAAGTCTAATGTAATAAGAAGACAGATTCTTTTTCTTAATGCCGATTGGTTGTATATGCCGGTCATTTAGAAGGGCTTCAGAATTAGCCTTCAAATTAATTAGGGTTTATAATAATCATCTATATTTTAATGGGAATATAGTTAACGATCCCGATCTGTCATGGTGTACTTTTGAGTGTCTTAATTCGTACAAAGCAGTTAGAGACTTCTAACCGGGTTAAATAGTTTGGGTATGTAGGGTTTATGCGAAAAATGCGGGGTGCATGCGTTTGGGCGGGGGTGAGGTTTTGGCTGTGAACACTTTCCGTTTCAGTGCTTCTGTGTGGCGCTCCGAGGCAGCCTACACAGTATCGACGGCAGCGGGAGGGACTGGCGGCTCGCATTCCTGAACCGATTACTGAGCTGGATTCACCCAAACATCTACCCGAATGTGCGTCCTCTGATAAACTGCAGGTCCCGTACGCCGTAATATTCCCAAGATAATATTAAAAAGGAACTTTTTTTCCCTGCAGTTGAAGAGAACTGCTATTTTGCATGACATCACAACGTTTGTTTATGTTGTTAACGCCAACAATTAACGCGTATGTAGATGAGCTCCGGGCATCTAAGGAATGAGTGTCACCGGTGCGCCTTTGAGCATAAATACCATACTAATCCGAAAGGCTGGTCAGCCACGCAAGGAGAAATAGAGTGAAAGAAGACTGATGTTTGTCACGGATTTGCAACCGTAATGGCTCTATATAAGAGGAAGTGAGAAGGGAAAACTGGAGATATCAGCAGACCCGGCTTCCCCATTGAGCTCAAACGAATACAATGAAAAGCTGTAGCTTTTAAGTTGGGACTGGTATGCTATGCTTCCCCACCCCCGCCGTTAATTTTACAACAAATTTTTTCACCCTATATTCCCCGTGACCCCTCGAAGAAATCAGTGCCCCTTACTTAGTTGCTGAAACCTGATCCAAAAAGACAGACGCAGTCGTTCGGGCTCTCCATTATACACATCGTTTTATGAACGGCTGTAAAATATATTCTGCTATCCATGTTTGAACAGCTTGTGAGTTAATTTGGACATTCGTCTTTATGAACAGGCCTGTACGTGTTGACGAATATAACCGTTGAAACAAGGTAATCCAATTAACGGATTAAATGCTTCATTCTTTAAGTGATAATGGGTATTTGAGAGACCACTATTTTTTTTGTATACAAGATGTTTATTGACTGGACATTTGTTGTGCAGATATAAAGACATAAAGTTTCTAAACCGGCATTAATGCATGCATATGCAATAAAACCACACAATCCTTGCATACGCTGTCATTTATAGACCTACATAAATTGAAAATTATATTACTCAGTATTGTGTGTATACTTTCAGTGGCCATACTATTAGGTACAGTTAGGAGACTGGAGATGTGCTTTCGATCTGAATGTTTTCATTTTGAAATTGGAAGCGGCCCAAACCCGATCCATCCGCCAGAACATATCTCCCTCTCCCCGGTCTTTAAGATTTATTGTCAGGGTTGGGCCGGTACTGAACATCCGTACTTGTATTTGCGATACCAACCTTGGATCAAATCAAAATCAGATCGAAAAGAAAATCAGTAGTATCACCCATCCCTACACGTTACCACAACCCGCCTGCTCGTCCGAGACGTGAATCATGTGGCTTTTGAAATGGTCGGTTGCTGGTGCGGACGTGGTGGTTCCAGTACCACAGAAATTGCCACTCCCTGGGATTTTCATGCTTTACAGAATCCAGAGTTTACAGAAAATGAAGCGAAACACAGAAAGTGCAGTCAGTAGCAGTTCCCAGAGTTAAAGCATAACGATCCGGGGAGAATTGCCAGACCTAAAACTCTCAGGAACAAGTGTAAAAGTAAAAAAAAATAATAATATAAAATAGGGGGTCCTACCCAGTACTGGGTAGGGGTGTCTAATAAACTGGCCATCGCATGCATATCTTCACGATTTCCCCTACAGAAAAGTAGGATTTACCCAAGTCTATATAAATCTGAATTTGGTAAATACCTATTTTTCTTAGTTTGGTGTCACGTATAACGTTTAACTGTAGGATCAAATCTACGGCTTTCTGGCAGATGCTAATTTCAGCAGGTCAGACTAACCGGCCGGGAAGCCTCTCCAGTTGGGCCAACCGGCGCAGGGAAATTACCACCACAACAGCATTCCATGCATAGCTTCTAGGCAAAGAGAATGCGAGGGACCCGGAGCTGGAACTGACTGAAAGTAGATGAGTTTCAGAGTAGCATAATTAGACGATTTCAAAATCTGGGGCTCGGAATTGCATATTTAAGATAGATGAGAAAGTTTTCAAATAAAACGCAGATAACAAGTAGGTGCAATGGAACATTCTGAATGGGAACATTTTCCGAAAACCTACTGCTGTCGTCAAAAATATAATTCGTGCTTAGAATAATTATAGTAACGAATAACATGATTGTTGGTATTACTCCTTCCTCCTAGTTTCTGTTCCCTTCTGTGCCGATTGCTCCCAAAGTTGCGTCTTTCACGGCGGAGTTCAAAAACCGCGCGCGTTGCATTGTGGTCGTCGTAGTTTGAGCTCCAGTGAGAAGATTCCTGTGACAACATATCTGAATTGTATTAATATTCTATAGTTTCCGTTGTTTTCCTAAAAAAAACTTACAATATATTTAAGAGCCGGATGTAAGTGCAATGGTATAAAACGATTCAGAGACGCAAACTTTGTAAATGACTCCCAAGACATTCCCAACAATAGAACTACAAATCCCATGACGAAATGGCTCCCCTTCTTGCACGGCGCCTGTCCCTGGGCAGTCTTCAAAAGAGGCTGAGTTTGGGGGAAAGATTGAGTTACGTGAGCGAATCGTCGCTCCTGACTGTCAGCCACCAGAACGACGCCGAGAAGAGCTGAAACTGGGAGCGAGGTCGGGGGTGGGGGAGAGGAAATCTCAGGTGAAATAGTACTGCGAGCTGGGAATTTTGTTGCCTGCAGAATCACGCTCACGTTTGTTATTATTATTTTCCCCCTACTTTGAGTCTTGCCATACAAGCAAGCTTTGACTAATGTGTCAAAGTTTGGCAAGGTTTGGTGCGCAATGACCGCCGACAGTTCGAAAGAATAGCACACGATTTTTTTTTAGTATTCTGATTTTTTTTTTTTTTTTTGCAAGGAGAGTCACACGTGAAAGTGCATGGCACGGCTGCGGTGGGACCTTTCAGTCCGAAAGTGATCGGATGGCTGGAGTGGAGGTCAAGTCTTGCATTTCTTCAGAGCACTGAACTAAGTGTCGGGACGTCCGGATAAGCAGGAGGGACACCGAAGCGGATCGACGGTATCTGTCATCGCGGCAACTTAAGGCACAACTTATTTACACACGCGCAGGTGGCTTTGCCCACTTTCGTGAATTGTTGTTTTTTTTAATTGTATTTTTTTTATTTTCCCACTATAGGTTTTCCACCACCCGCAAAACATAAAGATGAGCGGGGGAGATGTGGTTTGCTCGGGCTGGCTGAGAAAGTCTCCGCCTGAGAAGAAGTTAAGACGTTACGTAAGTTAAACCCTTATTATTTTAAAGTCGTGGGAAAATGCATGATAGAGAGTCTTAACACTTGCTGCGGGCAACGCGGGACTCGACTTTTTTTTCTTTGTTCGGTTTGTTTTGATGTGGTGATAAACACCACGTCGGAATAAAGGTCGGAATTTCTTCGGTGCGGAGCCCAAATCCCTTTAGCTACGCATTACGGACATATACCTCCCATGGCATGGATGTTATAGGGAAATGTCGATCGCTGGGAAAATGTTGACATCTGAAACCTCGCCAGCGAAGGCCACTTCATTGGAGCTTTCATCTTCAGCAAACTAGACTTCTGCTCACATCCCCACATAATCGCCCCCTTGCTGAGAGGGTAAACACAAAGAATGCGAGTTTACCCTAGGAGCTTAGTTAAAATGCAGGATGCACGCCTTATAGCATTCGGAGGATTGGCCGACCCGGCTTTTCCACGATCGTTAAGCTGTTACTCTTATTTTGGATTCGCATTAACAAAGTTTGCTGCAGGTTGCCCATGTCCGCGTGCGCCACGTGACCGTGTAAGTTATTTCGTGTAACAAAATTTTAGTTATTTCTCAGTTTTGTTTTTACGGTTCCGTGAGGTATTTAGAGCCATGTTCGAAATCATTTTGTTGAATTACTTCCTCTGAAAATGGATTAAAAACATAACACGCCTTAAACTTTTACAGAGAACTTTTAAAGCGCATTAGCACACAGAAAACAGTAAAAGACTGTGTTTTAATGCAGGGACCATATTATGCGTTATGATCAGTGGCGTTGCTGGAGATTTTGGGCTTCATGTAGGCATATCATATTGGGCCCCCCAGTCCAGAGCAATCAAGATATTTTCCAATTTTTGTAGGTCCCCAGTCACTCAGGGGCCCTTGGAACGCCCCTAACGGCGCCCCTAGTTATGATCATGCAGTATGATACGACTTGCACCTAAATATTTTGTTTGTTGGCAGGATTAATCACTAGTATGTTGAAAGACTTGCGTGGTTTGCTGGAAACGAGATGCACTCTTCACGATGTAAGCCTTTTGCTGCAGCCGCTGATTTCTTTATAAAACTCAGTGACACACTAGCCTAGTTTGTCCAGCAGTATCAGCCACGTTGGGAGAAGGGATTACCTGTGTGATGATTAAGACTGGTGTCTCATTGTCCGATTAATCTTTGATATGTGTACACG